GTATTTTTATAGACAAAGAAGCCATAAATTAGCGGAGAAAAATTGGCTTCAGCGTGGAGGATGCAAATTTTTGGACAATTGCGAAAAACTGGCTTTAAGATGCCTCAATCAGAATAACAAAACTCAGTTTGGAACGCACCAGGCTCCCCGATGCGATCTTGCGTTTTTGCACTAAACTCGCTGATCGCTATTATCAGGAATGATTCCTACGCTGCGGCCTAACACTTGGGCTAATATTGGCCGTGCTGTGATCCTTTCTGGCACGCAGGAGGAAGAGCATCAGTTGGGATGAAGGTGGTGCAAAAAATATAGAGCCGCACGGATATCCAGGTGCATGATTACTGGTTTTTTGCATGAAGTCCGATCGTTTTTTTCGGTAAATGCTCGCTTTGTGAAAAAATGACAAATGCAGATTTCAAGTTCATGAAAAATTGGAAGTGTTGCTCGAACGGTTGTTTGTCAAAAAAAATGTTAATTTACATATACTGTTACGGCTCAGGTCCGAATTGCCAGCGATTTTTGGGTTGAGGATCTGCTTGAGGCTGTGGTAGGAGGGCCCGACAGCTGAATTTAAAATCTTTAGCTCGCATGCGCATAAAGAATATTCCTGCAAAGTTTCAGCTTTCTACATTGCCTGGTCCACGAAATCGTTTCCCGTCAACATATTTCTTTGGGGGTTCCGCACGCGGGGTCTAGGTGTGCATGGGGGGAGATCTTAAAACCGGAGGATGAAACGCGGGGTAGGAACATATATTCAAAGTTTCAGCCTCCCACCTTTCCTGGTTACTGAGATGAAAGTGGGTGACAAAATGCACTCTCTTTCTGAACACACACACACAACCTCTCGACAGCATGCGTTTTTGCTGGCTGTAGCAGGCTATAGCACAGCAAAAACGCATAAAAATGAGAATTGGATATAAATAGTAAAAACTGGATATAAAATAGTAATAAAAAGGATGCGATTCCACCATAGTGCCTTGCTCTTAATATCAAGTTATTTGTATACATCCTGCGGATAATTCTTGGATGCGCAAATTTTGAAAAAGTAGATGTAAGCAAGAGATTTTTCGTTGTCAATATTAATTATATTTACGGGATCGTTTGCATATTTAATATTCCTTCTTTTCGCCCAGCCGACAACTCTGCACAAGATTCTCTGCCAATTCCAGTTTTTTAATTTTCATTGCCAGCTTTTTAGAATATTCCACAAAATTTGACCATTTGTTAAAGAAAAGGAAAACGAGTTTTTTAAAAAGGGACTGAGCTTTTATCGGATAACGTATATACTTGCCTAAAACAATTTGTTCGGTATATTTCATTCGTTTGGTAGCAGCATAAAAAATCACTGTCAAGAAATTTTGGATTAGTTTATTATAATTTACCTCATCCACATAATTTCATGCAACTTTCGGACGGGTCTTTTTACGTACAAGTGGCTCTCTCTTTTTTTCTCAGCAGTATTTTTAGGTGTGCCGCAAATTCGATTAAATGCATTGCATCATTTTCGTGCTTTCCGATGAACTTTTTCGTTTTTTGTGCTTTCCGAAAATATTGGATTTTCGGTTTTAGTTATTAGCTTTTTCTTTTTTTGGCACTTTTCTTCTGCTTGCTTGCTCTGTGTTCTCAAGACCAGAAGGCTTGTTGTATTTCGAATCCAGGATTAAACGCACCAGGCGGACCAGTTTGATAATGAGTTTTTGAAATGTTTCGTGCTCTAGTGAGACCGCAAGGAATCGCATTAGCTCCTCTAAAATTTCAGTAGCCTTTTTCATCTTCGAGTTAGTAATTTTCCCACCAAAATTTTCACCTGCCCGTGTGCAAGACACGGACAGTTCTAAGGAGCTGAATTTGAAGTCTTTTGGTCGTACATGAGTAGGAAACATTCTTCTAAAGTTTCAGCTTTCCATCTTTTCTCACTCCAGAGTTAGCAATTTTCCCACCAAAACTTTCATGATATTTCCACGTCTCACTTACGTGATGTGTCTACGTAAGTGAAACGTAGACATATCACGTTCCTGAGTCATAATTGGCCAAGGAACACATTGGCAAAATTTCAACTCCAAAGCTTGCGTAGTTGCTGAGTACAAACACCCGAACGGACGACAGACGAACACACATACAGACAGGGTCATCACAATATGCGTTTTTGCTGCCTGTTGCAGCACTCTAGTGCTGCGTGGCAAAACGCATAATGAGTAATGCGTCAGAAATTTACACATTTGGGAATAATAGAAGCTTAAAACACAGAGTATAAGGGCAGCACTAATGAACAAGAGGCGTATGAGAGTGTTTAATTTTTATTTGAGCGATGATTATTAAGGTCATAGAACACTGACAGTTAAGGTGTTTTCTGCACAATTTTCAAATGAGCATCTTGCAATAGGCCTGCCACTCCTACGGGGATCGATTAATCAGAAACAAGAGGATTCTGAGTTAATAAGTTGGAGGCTTCGATATTCGGCCTCATACTTAAAATTCGCCAAATTTTATTAAAACCTAACACATGCTGATGGGTATTAAGGAAGGATACAGGGAGGGTTCAACCATAAGCCCCGTGTGTCAGTATTTTAGGATCAAGCAGTACAGACCTGCGAGAACAAGGATGCAATAGTGCTTTTTTTCGCATGACTGCCTAAAGGACAACACGTATAAATTGCGCCAAAATGTCTGTTTACAGCTATGGCCACATTTTGGGATTAATCATCTGACTATACCACTTCGGATACTTTATATTTTGATGCAAAGGTCAAGATGGTGCCGTACAGAAAAAAGGCAATAATGATAATTCACAAATTTGTAATGTGAACATCGCTGGATGGCTTCGCTTTCGCTGCTCGGTGCTTCTTTCTCGTTACTGTTTACCGTTGCATGCGCTACTCCCAAATATCAGAGGATATTCGTCAGTGCAAAGTTCGTCTCTTTTCTTTTCGATTTTAATTTCCTTCAATTCCATATTCAAAAATCTAGGTGTGTACAAAAAGTACCAGATGATGGCTGAATCAAGTCGGTAGCCGTTGTGTTGTGTTTACACAATAAACTAATTTATGGTTCTCCAAATCGTGGTAGCAAATAAAGAAAAAAATCAATGTGGAAAAGAGGAAAGACTGAATGATACCAGTTTCAAAAAAAAATAATGTAAATTTTGGCTGAC